AGCAGCTGGTCTCTCAGCTGCACAGCCACCAGCTTCCTACACCTTGCCAGGCTCTCCCCTTGCTGCCAGTGTGTTACCCACCCCGAATTCCAACGTGCTCAACACAACAGCCACTTCTGCCCAGCCAGCAAGTGCAGGCATCAGCCAGGCCCAGTCCACTGTTCCTCCTGCAGTTCCTACCCACACCCCAGGCCCTGCCCCAAGCCCAAGCCCAGCTTTGACACACAGTACTGCGCAGAGTGAGAGCACATCCTACATCAGTGCTGTGGGGAACACGAACTCTAATGGCACAATAGTGCCACCACAGCAGATGGGCTCGGGTCCTTGTGGTTCTTGTGGGCGAAGGTGCAGCTGTGGGACCAACGGAAACCTTCAGCTAAATAGTTACTATTATCCCAATCCAATGCCCGGACCAATGTACCGAGTCCCATCGTTCTTCACTCTGCCATCCATTTGCAATGGCAGCTACCTCAACCAAGCACATCAGAGCAATGGAAACCAACTTCCTTTTTTTCTGCCTCAGACTCCATATGCAAATGGACTGGTGCATGACCCAGTCATGGGGAGCCAAGCCAACTATGGCATGCAACAAATGGCAGGATTTGGGAGATTCTATCCCGTATATCCAGCACCCAATGTAGTTGCCAACACCAGTGGTTCGGGGCCCAAGAAGAATGGGAATGTCTCATGTTACAATTGTGGTGTAAGCGGACACTATGCACAGGACTGTAAGCAGTCATCCATGGAGGCCAATCAACAAGGTAATCACAATAACTCCCAGAGGACTTGTTTTTGAATTCACCTGTTTCTCCTTCCTTCCTTTTCTTGATCATGTGATTCTGTTGTAGCAGAAAGATCTGTTTGTGTGTTCATTTACAGATGTGTTTTCAGTGACAAATTATAAATTGCAACCAGAAAAACCTAGTATAGACCCAGGTCACACAGAACCCAAGGAAGGTCAAAGGAATTTATTTCCCAATTAAGGAATAAACTCTAAAGGCACTTTTCAAGGAATATAGCAGGAATTTGAATTATATATAATGTTAAATCTCTTAACTATGGCACTTAAAAAAAAAACTACAATCCTATTTCAAAGAGTAAGCAAAAATGTTTAATACTGAAAAACTAGAAAATAAGCTGGTCATCTGACATGTAAGGTTTTTAGTTCAATATCTGCGTAACCAGCTGACCTCGTGTGTATACCCAACAAATGTCTAAGAAAAAGAAATTCAGATTCTACTGCATTTTAGAGCAACAAAATAAACTTTGGTTTGGGAATAAGGAAAGTAGATCTAAGTTTAATGTTACTACCACCTAAATGAAGGAAATGTGCTTATGCAAATAATGAGTAAGATACAAAATTCAGTGTTGACCTCCAACCATTCTCTTTTACTTGCATTTGGCCTTTATCATTTTACCATATCTTACTCAGAACAAAAGTCTTGATTTGGGAGTATATCTATTTGGTATTCTTAAAGCAAGATCAAGTTTGATGGCTTTAGGTTGAACTTAAAGCACAAGCTTCATATTATTATTTTTTAATAAATAATTTATTTGCCATTTTGGAGTGGTATTAATGCTTAGAAAAGTGCCTTCTGAAGAGCATGCCCATTTGATATCTTGTAGTGGTTTGTGATGCGTGTCGTTAAAAGCGGTGACTTAGCAGTTCTCTTTCCCGTTTTAGGCACTTACAGACTGAGATACGCACCTCCCCTCCCCCCTTCTAATGATACGTTGGATTCTGCAGACTGAAACAAGTAAAGCTTGCCTACTTAATACACTCAAGTGTGGGGAGTCATGGGGTTTGGAGGGGAGGAAAGGAAAGGTATTTTGTTTGTTTCTTTGTCTATACATTTCCTAGATTTCTATACAGTTGGGAGTTTTTATTTCTCTTGTACCAATGTCCAAAATAAGAAAGAATGCAATGCTTCTGAGCCTCTGGTCTCCTGGTTCAACAACAGGCTTATATGTATGATACATGTAACTTAAACTTCAGACAAACTATCAAAAGGAAAATGTTGATGCGTGCTTTTTTTTTACACTGAATACTTGCTGTGTGCAATGTTTACTGAATCTTTAAAACTGTGTATTTGACCTTTTTTTACAACACTGGTGACAGTCATATGGTTTTGAAAAAAAAAGAAACTGCTTCTTCCCCAGCTTTTCTCACTCTCACCCTAAACTACACTGCTCTGGCCAGCCACCCTTGCCCTTTCCCTGGCCTGCGGCACGAGTGCCTGACAGTGTACTTGTCCACATTTCTGTAAACTGCTCTGCATATAAAGGGAGGGTAAAACTTTTCACCTTAATCCTACATGAGAAGTTAAATTCCCAAGATAGTATGTATATATGTAATAAACAGCATCACACAGATACATATATGCAGTGCTTGTTGTCCAAATAAACATGAAAATAAGTGGGAGCAAGAGGAAGAAGTCAAACCATATGAAGCTGAAAGATATGACCTATGGACAGAAAGCTTTTTCTTAAAAAAAAAAAAAAAAGAGAGAAAAGAAAAAGAAAACATCTCTCTCCTTTCATCATACTTTTCTAGCCTGTTGCTTCAGAGAGACACAAAGTGAACACACTGGTGTGAATGTCATTCTCTGTGTGCTTGTGTTTGTGATGAAAGTCGACAGCCAGTTCTACTCGTCGTCTACCACCATGTCCTGCTCAAAGACACTACTTGAGTAAAGATTTCTTCTTTTGCTATACCAACTGTTACAGTGTTACGTTGTGTTTAAAATGTGTGTGGTTTATTGCAATCCGAACAGAAGCTATGGGTTTCTACAAAAAAAGTCAGGTATTTGTTCCCTAACCTGTCTCTCGTAGCAAAGTCACTTTTATAAACGTTTACCACTATGCTTGATTATAATGTGAAAGACTGAATTCTGAGTGTGTTAAGATGGTATTAATCATGTCAGTGTCATGTCACTAAGTTTAATGCTGCTGTTTAAAAAAAATTTTTTTTAAAGCCAATCTATGTACTAAATTGCTTCCAGGTAATTTTTGATTTCCTAAAGTGCACTGAGGTTATCTGGAAGATTGGGTGTATTTTTTGGTGACTGCTGCATTCAACAGCAATGAACAACTACCACTGTATAGTCATAGGTTTAAGGGTGGGGGGGTTTGTTTTCCCATTCCTCAGTACAGAGCAGAAATGATAGATTTTTGTGTGTGGAATAACGTTGGTATGCAGCAGAGGAACTTAAATATTTGGTCTTGGTTCAGAAGCCTAACAGATTGCTAGACAAAAGAAAAAACTTGAAGAAAAAGAAGCTTAATTTAATGCTTCATAAGTAGCATTTATATTTATAGCACCAATGTACATTTTGAAACTTTCAGGGGTGGGAGTTATGGGGAAGGGGTTATAAAGGGGTAGATGAAAGCTTTAATTTAGAAAGAAAAAAGTTCGAGTAAAGGAAATTATTTTGATTAAATATATTTTATTTGATCTGGGTATTTTTGGACCACATTATTAAATTAATTGTTAAGCTGCAGTTGGGTTGTTCAGGTGAGGGTGTTGATATGCCACGTGTGATCACGTTGGGAATCACTTGCCAGTTGTACTTTATGGAGCTTATTTTATGATTTAAAATACTGTACTGTACATAGGAGGTGTGTTACCTTCTCCTTATTTGTATGTTTACCATATACTTTGATATTTGAAATGTTATGTACTGGAAAGGCCACTTATATTTCTAGAACAGATTGGATTTTATGCAACCTTTTTTCCTTGAATTAACAGCAATAAAAAAAATGAAAAACAGCTTAAGAATTGTGCCTTATTGCCAATTTTGTAAAAATTAAAGGTAGGATATTATACATGGTGATTTTTTTCTTTTTTCTTTCTTTTTTTTTTTTTTTCCGGATCAACTAACCCATTTCCCTGTATCGTGGACAGTGAATCTCAAGGTCATTTATCACTTATCATCTGGATGTTCTTCACTCTTCCCCCAAATGACCTTAGGTCATCTGTAGGTCATCTGTGTGATTACTGAAAAAAGGGAGACTTCTTTCTGTCTCTGCTGAGCACACACTGTGTGCCAGGGCTACAGTGGCAGACAGCAAAGTCCTGTCAGCCTCGAGCTTGGCTTTCTGGTTTAGGGCCTCCCTCACTGGAAGTATGAAGGACCTAATTTACTTCCTCAGATTTTTTTGGTTTTGTTTTTTCAACCTGGGAACTACCTTGGTTCAGTATTGAATGTCGAAACAATTGGTTCTCTCTCCTATCATCCAATCTTGAGTCAAAGTTTTAAACCATCTATAAGATCTAAGACACCGGTGGGAGCCAGTCAGTGTGCTATTGCTCTGCCTGAGCCCTCAGTATGGCCCCATGCCTCAGCATTCAGCAAGGTGGTGGACACTCAGAAGGGCCAGGCCCCAGGACACTGGATTGTTTTCTGTAGCCACCTTGTGAGTGTTTCCTTTGTAACCAGGCCGTTGAAAGGATTTGATTGTTTACAGGCAGCAACTTTTCCCTTTAGCAGATAAATGTACACCTGAATGTAATAGGTGAGTCTTGAACCCACAAAATTACAAGAATGTCTCCAATGTCCTCACTTGTGTTCCTTGCCTGTCCCCTCTCTCCCCACTACACTAAGGTAATGGCTGCTTTAAATTATATTATTCCTTTGCTTTTGTCTGTTTTCTCGCCTCTGATATTTCCCCTAAAATATACAGCTTATTTTTGCTTTCCTTGAGCTTTATAAAAAGGGTACCTTTCCATACCTCATCTTCTGGGGCTGGCTCTATTTATCTGGTTTTATGTCCCAATGTAACATTCCTCATGTTTATTCATTTTGCTACCTTAAAATGTTCTTTTGGTGGCAGGAGGAGAATATAAAACAGTTTATCTGTCATTCTGTCAACTGACATTTGGGTGTTTTTTATTTCTTTTCTATTTATGAGCAGGGCTGCTAGGAACATTCTTATATTCTTGAAGTATGCAGGAGTTTGTTAGGGTGCACATCTAAAGCAATCACTGGACATTCAGATGCTCAGTTTTCCAAGATTTTCTGTATTGTTTTCCAAGTGATTTCATACTCATACCAGCAGTGTACCAGAGACTCCTGAATCCATATCCTGACACCCTCCCAAGATGATGTCATAGAGCTATGGAAGGCCAGGACAGGGATGTGCAACCAGAAGATGTTGGCCCCACAGGGGAGGTGAGTCTGGAGGCCAGGACAGTGTGAGCAGGGTTAGTGGTCACCACATGGGAAAGGAGACATAAAACAGGCAGTTGTATGTAACACAAATGGCAGTAGTGTGTGGTTGGGGAGGTGGGGGGAGAGAGTAATACATTAATAAGGAGAATGTATTAAGAGATTTGTGGGTGCAGTTGATAAAATAAGGTTAGAATGGAGAATTTAGAATTGATAGAATAAAAAATAGGAAGTTACCAAGTTGTAAGTAATGGAAAAACATTAACTATGGTATTTGAGGAAGTTGTTGAGTGGTTGAGGAAAGAAAGCCTGGAAATTGAGAAAATGGGTAGTATGAGGCAGTGGTCCCGACTAGAGTTGGCAGTGGGAACAGGCCATCTAAGCTTGAGCATTGGCATAGTGAAGTCAGTTTAGAAAAGGTTTGATACCAGGAGAAGGAACCTTGGGCCCCTGAGCTTCATTTTCCCTGGATGTAAAATGAGATGGCTTATTTTAAATCATGTCTATGACGATTAAATGCCATAATAAATAGGAAAGGCCCAACTTAATAAAATAGCACTGAGCAGGCACTCAGATGTTTGCCCAATCAAATTTTGATGAACAGAAAATTCCATCCACTTCCTGTTTTAGAAGATGGAAAGAGTGTGGAAAAGAATGTGAGCCTAAGAGTGAAGATGATGGCTTTTTGGGTGGTGAGAGACTTCGTAAATAAAGTTCTTCATTCTGTTAGGGTTAGTTAATTCTGCTCCATTCTCTCATAAAAAATTCCTTGATTAATCTTCAAGATTTAATCTAGTCGGAGAGTTTGCCAATTAGTAGCAGACATGGACTATATATACATGGCCAAGTCATCCCATCCTGATTACTCCATGCCAAAGTAAAATCAATCCATCATAAGGCAAATCCACATTTTTTTTTACATAAATGCTATAAATCAAATTTTTCTGAGAAGGTTCTAAAGAGATTAAAGTACAGTGTAAAATATCTTTCTTCTCTTTTTAACAGGAACCATCTAGTACTTACAAGCATCATCATTTGAGCTTGGAAGACACCTCTTTTCAGTTCTGCATACTGATGACAAAAGCATTCTAAGGTTGAGGCAGTGAAGCCACATGGAGGCAAGCTGTGACAGTAGTTCAACCCCACCACAACCCTTCTGTAATCTTTTCTGGAAAGAAGAAAATGTCAACTCCCCATCCCACAAAAAAGGGCCCATTTATTTTCAGAGAAATGAGTTTTGAGGTGTGTGCTCTGACTTGAAACAGGGTCACTGCATTCCTTCAGCTTCAAGGGGTGAGGCCCGCTGTGATGAGAAGGAGGGGCTCCAGGGACTCAGCTGAGCAGCAGGTGTTTCAGCTGCAGTACTATTGACCCTTCAACATGACCCTGAACAGAGAGGGCAGGCCATGTTGTGCAACCTTGTCCTCCAGGTACCCCCAGCAACATTGACTTGCACAGTTTGTATTCCTAAGGTCAATCTAGCATCAATATTTTGTTATCACTATGTACAAATCACAGCTGTTGGGTTTATACATGCAAAGTTATATAATTCCTAAGTGCTGTCTCTTTTTAAAAAAAAAAAAAAACACGCCCTCTCTGTTGGAATATAGGTACACGTGCCTGATTTTTTTTTTTTTTTTTTTTTTTTTTGGCATAAACATCTATCAGCCTTGGAACACAGGGATGTTAGACTTCTCTCCGGTTCTGGAAAGTGCAGCACATCACACTCCAGGGCACCAATGACTGTTCCCTCCCACAGTCACAGCTCCATCTGCAGTGACTGCTGGACTTGGTCACTAGAAGCTCTTCATCCCAAAATTCTGTTTCTTTGAAATTGGTGGGTGGGAGGTGGGGTGAGGTGGGGCTTGGATGCTTCTACATCATTTTTCTCTTTCCTCTTGCAGCTCCAGTTTGATCCATTGTGGAAGCTTCTCAGCCAGCCTCTCACCAGAAGAAATTGCTGATTGGAAAGCAGTTGCCACCTGGTGAGAGACAAGGACAGTGCAAGCAAACAGACGTTATTTCCTATTGACCTAATTTAGAGAAAATTAAGCGTTAGAGAGAAAACATTTATGATTGTTAAGTCTGTGCCAAGATCTTTAAAGAATGCAGGCAGCTGGCCATAAAGTCAATTTGAATAGTCTCTCTGAGCCATTGTGATCCCAGTGGTGTAGAATATATATAAACATCCCAAAGGCATTGATAGTACTTTACAGTTTGCATTGCACTTTCTTCTGTGTTCATTTGGTCACCACACCTGTGAAGGGGATGGGAGTTTCCTGTCTGTCTTACAGGTTAAGGATTCAGGGTTCAGGGAGATCAAGTGGTGCAGACAATACCAGTGATGAAGGCTGGACCCCCAGCTTCAATTTAATGCTCACCTGCCCCCTCATCTGCTTCTTTACTGGAACAAGTGCAGTGACTTTTAAAGCTGTAGGACCCACAGAACTAATAGCCTCTGGATTCCTAAGAGAGGGCTGGGCCACATCCTAATCAAGTAGGGTGTCTCTGAAGGGTTTCTTCAAATGGTTATGGGGAAATTTCCAGAATTAGGAAACCTTAGGTCTTTCAGAACTGAACTTTAAGCATTTATCCATCTCAGGTAAATTCAAGGAGTATCAGTGCTGTCTATTTTGAAGGTTTAAACATGCACAGATACCCTCTATTGGAAAACAGCGTGTCTCTACAGAGGTTTTTAAGAGGTTTTTATTATCCCTGTGTGTCTTAAGCATGCAGTGATGATCCCATTAGTTGGAAGACTTCAGAAATGAAGCAGTGGTGCAAGCAGAAAGAAAAAGTACTGATACCATAAAGCTCCAACATTCACATATGTTTTTTCCAAGCACCTTTCTATCCACCCACCTCCCAAAGAAAATACTCTGAAGCAAAGAATGATGGTGGAAGTAGCCCTCATGAAGAAACAGTAACAATCACCCAAGCGGCTTGTTGAGTTCTAAGAGTGCCACCAGATGACTTAATAGTTAATGAAAAGCTCCTCTTTGCTAGCATGTCGAAGTTAGGTCATAGTCATTATACGAAATTGACTCATTCTGAGTGCCTTCATAAAAATCAACTTTTACAAGAAGAGGCAGTATGACTTGTGATTTTGTTCCCAAACCCTACCCACTCAAATGTGACCTTTCTCAGGCTGATTTACAGAATGGGCATAATAACACGTTGTGGAGTAGTTGCAAGGATTAAATCTGCCAAGTATATAAGCACTAAATGTCTGACACATAGTAGGCTCTTAATGTGTGTGTGTGTGTGTGTGTACACACTGGGAATCAAACCTAGGGCCTCACACATGCTAGGCAAGGGCTCCACCACTGAGCTGTGGCTCCTTCCCCCCCACACACACACACACCCACGTCTCCTCAGTGAATTTGTAAAGGTAGGTGTCACTTGAATGTCGATAATAGGCCATTCACTGGGCTCATTTCAGCCTCATAATATCCCTGTGAGGTAGGTGCTGCACCCCATATTATAGTTAGGGATCTTTGGGCACAAAGATTAACAGCTAAGTGTTCAAGGGCACAGAGCAGTTAAGCCCAGGTGGGGTGGCTTTAGGCTGCTGCTCTACATCTCCCTTGTGTCAGGTTTTATCTGTACTGGGGTACAGTCAGCCTTGCACTGGAATCAGGCAGGCCCTGCCTTGGACATCATCATCTGGAACAACTGGCTTTCCTGGGTCTTTCATCTCATCTGAAAGCTACATGGATCTCTGAAGTCCCCTAGAGTTCCAAAGTTCATTGATTTGAAGCTTGCTTATTCACTTTAAATTATTTTTCAAGATTTATAATTCTTTAGCTTCTTTTTGTTTTGATGGAATTGAAGTCCTCTTCTGGTGTGGTCAGGAACACAAACCCCAACTCTGTTAAGGGCTGTGAGACAGGACAGTGTGTTCAGGCCTTGAGAGAAAACTGAAATTAGCCAGTCGGTCACTAGGTGGCAGCATAAGCAAAGCGCTAGCTGCACTTGGCTGTCAGCTGCTGGAGCAGTTTCGGTTCCATCTTCATTTTGCTCTTCACTGCTGTATTGATATAGTTTTCATGGGGACGGGCTGGGGGGTGGCCAGTTAAACAGTGCTCATAAATATGAATCATGCTGAAGGATGTGGGGCTCCGGAAATTATATGAAGTTTTGGAACACAAGTACTGCTTTTGCCCTGTAACATCCAAGTTGAATAGTTATGACAAACAAGGTGTGGCCCTCAAAGCCTAAAATATTTACTGCCTCTCCCTTTACAGGAAGTAAAAACTCACCAATCCCTGACATCTTCCTTAAGAGGCACTTCTCATTGTCTTTAAAGTCCTATTCTGTGATTAGGAATTTGCACCCTCCTTTTTGGTAGTATTTTCTTAGCACAAAAACAGCGTTGCTTAAGTTACTGGTACTTGCAAACATTAGCTGGGAGCACAGCCTAGTGAGGGCCACCGCCAGCTACATCATAGTAACATGCCCGAAGGTCACCAAGATGAGAGGTTAATGCTGCCTGCGGAAAATTGCCAAGGATTTCCAAAGGACACATCGTGTGCCAAAAGAAAGAAGGGAGATTTTTCCTCAAGAGTGGGGAAAAATGGCATCATCAAAACTCATTATGGGATATATCCAGTAGGGGGATGAGAATCTAGAGAGCACTGGCAAGAGCCAGGAAGAAGCAGGCCTGGGTGTGGGTGCCAGACAGGTGAGAGTGGGAAGTGGTTGCAGATCCTCCTTAACCAAAAGGAGCCAAGAGAAGTAGGGATTTGGAGGGTTTGTGTTTGTTTTGTTCTTTGGCACTAGGGATTGAACCCAGAAGTGCTGAGCTACTCCAGGTCCTTTTTTTTATTCTGAGACAGGGTCTTGCTAAGTTATGGAAACTGGCCTCAAACTTGTGATCCTGCCTCAGACTCCCAAATCACTGAGATTATGGGTGTGAGCCATTGCGCCTAGCTGAGAAATAGGTTTGGAAGAGAAAGACATGAGTTCTGCTTAGCTGTTAGGTCAGCAGTGCTTCTGAAAGTGCTTGGGTCACCTCATCTGAAGAGCTTAAGTAAAAACAGACTCATTGCCCCCTCTCTCCCAAACACATCCCACAGAATGGGGATTTCAGAGAAAGCATCAAAGAAAACTGAGAATGTACTCTGAAGGAAAAAAAAATGGGAAATGACTGTCATTACCATGTGCAGTATGGATGGGGAATACTCTTGTCACTGGTGTAAGACCATTGCAGAAGGGAGGTACCCAGGAAGGGGATTGAGAGCAGAGCTAGGAGGACTCCTCCAGGCCTTGGAACTTACTGCTGTTGGGGAAAGAGGAAAATGACCGGATGGCCCTTTTTTTCTTAGTTTAAATAGGAAGGGTCTGCAAAAGAGGGAGTAAGCCAGACACTGCTGCATAGAGCCAAGGGCTGAGGAGCACTGAGTTAAAGGCCCAGCTGTCCTGAGGGCCGGCAGAGGCCACAACCAAGTGCTAGTGTCCATTTATTTCATAGATCAAATACTGAACCATCAGAGGGGGAAAGAAAAATTTTCTTTGCCGCTACATCAGCCTAGACAGCAAAGTTTAGGCTTTTCTGTTTTTGTTTTTGTTTTTCTGGCAATGTGGGAAGCTGAAGAAAGAGAAGGGCTAGGCTGAAGATCTTAAGATTCCCTGTGAAGATTCTGTGTTATTTCAACCCCTCTTCTGGACTTTTCCTTCTTTCCATCACTCTCTCAAGGAGCCCATTTCTGTCTCCTCTACAAGCCCAAATGCCTTTCCAGACAGGGCCAGCTCCTGCTTGGCTCCCAAGGTCAGAAGTCAGCTGCTCCCCACAGCCACCCTGGGCCTGGTCCCAGGACCCTGCTGCCTCCCCCACCTTCATCCTTCACTTTTTTGAGCTCAGGTTCCTGTCCCAGCTTCCATCATTCCAAATTAAGAGGAGAGGAGACTTACCCCAGGAGACCTGAGCCTTGTCCAGGGTCAGGAATAAACGTGGTCACACATCACTCAAAGAAACCTGGGGTGCAGGAGAGTCCCTGATGAGGAGCCATCTTTCTGCAGTGACAGTGTGCACGCTGATCTTGGCATGCCGGCAGCAGAGCCTGCAGGAGTGCCGCAGCTGGGCTTGGCTGGTGCGCAGGCAGCAGAAGGTGAGTGTCTGAAGTCAGCCTCCTGGGGCTGGTGGGCGTGAGGGAAGAGCAGCTCGCTAAACATAGGAGCATAAATTCTATTTCTGGGGGGTGTTTGAACCAGTGGGATGAGCGACTTCCAAGCACTTCAGGAGGATCTAGGAACTAACAAATGAGTGACCCTGCAATTCTACTCTAACCCCATCTGCTAGCTACCTTTTTTTTCAGCAGCAGAATAACATGGATGTCATTGGTGTGGGAGGCTAAAATATGCCACCCCAAAATACACTTCCTCGACACATTTCGGAGATGGCTATTCAGAGAAACTGCAGACACAGGAACAGCTCTGAGAAGGCCTTTTGTAAAAGAAACGGGTGACTCTAATGGAAATGCACGCTTGTGAAGTAAACAGGGTGTCAACGAGGCCTCTTGAGGTCCCCCTTCTGCCTTACCTCATTGTAGGGAGGAACATGTGGACATCCCTGCCCAGAGCTGGCCACAGGATGTCTTGGAGCGCTTTCTGAGGGCTCTTACCCAGGAGACTGCCTGCATAATAAAAACCTTTGTTCAAGGCATGGCCTCACCTCACATAACCCCTGCCCTCCAGGAGCCCCACTGCCCTGTCCCTGTCTGGCTGGCATAAAAACTTCAGTTCATCGGGCGCTTCTTTGAGTCTCATATTTTTCTTGGTTCCTGTGCACTTGCTTGTAATGTATTTGGATACCTTTTCTCCTACAAATCTGTCTTGTGTCCATCTATTTCATAAACTCAAATACTGAACCATCAGAGGGGGAAAGAAACATTTTCTTTGCCTCTACATTGGCCTAGACAGTTTGACCACTGTGGCTGGCATGCCGGCTTCCTTACCAGGAAAAAGAGTGGTGTCTACCTTAGAGTTGTGTGTGGTTAATAAAATGATGCATTTAAACGTGGTACCAAGCGTACAGGGAACACTAAAACATGGTTATGTTTCCTCTAAAAATGTCATCTTATTCAAAACCTGCCTTGCTATTTTAGGGCCTGTCAAAATTAGGAATGCCACTCTTCTCTGGATCAGACTGTGCTTTGTACTTTTGTTTGTGTTAGTTGTTTTTATTTTACATGATTGTAATCATCCTATACATGCATTTTCTTTCTGTTGTACAGTTGATGTGCCAATATTGATACTTTATTACTCAAGTCCATAGTAACATTAAGGTTCACTCTTTGTTGTACAGCTCTGCTGGGTTTGAGAGGCATAATGACATGTGTCCATTGTAAGAATATCATGCAGAATGCTTTTGCTGTCCTAAACATCCTTTGTGTTCCACCTATTTATCCCTCCCTCCTACCTCACCCCTGGCAACCACTTTTCCTTTTTACTGTCTCTCTTGGATTTGTCTTTTTCCAGAATGTCATAAACAGAGTCTCCTCCATTTACAGTGGGGTGACAGCCTGATAAACCCATCAACTGAAAATATCAGTAAGTAGAAAATGGGTTTAAGGCAGCTAAACTACCAAACATCACACACTCACCCACAGACCACCATTGTTCTCTCTCTTGATCCTGTGACTGCCTGGGGGCTTCCGTTTGCTGCCTCTGCCCAGCATCCCAAGAGTATCACAAGGCACATCACCAGCCCAGAAACAGACCAAGTCAAAATTTAAATTCTGTATGAAATTTGTACTACTTTCACATCATTCTAAAGGAAAATCATAGATTGGATCACCATAGGTGGGGATGATCAACAGTTGGACTCAATATGTAGCCTTTTCAAGTATGTGTTTTCACAGCTTGATGACTCTTTTTTTTTCCTTCCCCCATCTATTTATTTATTTATTTATTTATTTAGCTGAATAACATTCTGTTGTGTGGAAGTGTCCCAGCTTCTTTACCCAGATAAGGACTCCAGGGCATCTTGGTTGCTTTCAGGTTTTAGCAAATGTCAACCTGCTGTTGACATTTGTGTGCAGGTTTTGAGTAAATATGTTTCCAATTCCTTTGAAAAAATACAAAGACTGCAACTGCTAGATCATATGGTGAGAGTATGCTTAGTTCCATAAGAAATCATCAGTCTTTCATGGTGGCAGTACCATTTTGCATTCCCACCCGTGATGGCTTAGTCCCTGTCACTCCACATCCCTGCCAGCATTTGTGTTTTTTTGTTTTTGTTTTTTAACCATGCTAATAGGTATGTAGCAGTAAAACATCTTAATTTGAGACTCCCTAATGTATCATATCTCACATTTTTCATGTTTATTTGCCAGATTCCTTGGTGAGGTGTCCAGATCTTTTGCTGAATTGTTAACTGGGGCTTTTTTTATATTGTTGGATTTTATGTATTTGTTTATGTTTCCGCTATCAGTCCTAATCAGATGTGTTTTACAAATATTTTCTCCCAGCCTGTGGCCTGTCTTTTCATTCTCTTCATGCTTTGTTCTTTTTATTTAGATGAATAAATAAATGGAAATGTAGAGACCTGAAAAGACAAAAAGCAAACAGAGGGTTTCATTCTGTCTTCATTCTTAGCAGGTGCAATGCCAAGCAGTCTCCAGCAGTGCTTCCCTGTGCATTCCGCAACATGCCAAAAGTGGGATTCCTCAATGATTGCCAAGTCCCCAGTCCAGAGCTGCCAGGGCTCTATTGGCAGAGGACATGGATTCTGAGGACTTCCAAGTCCCTCCCTGTAGTGACAACCAGGTACTATCTTGGGGCTGGACCAATGCTGGCCACGCCCCCCTTTTATTACCTTCCGGGGGGACAGAAATTGTAGGCCTGTAGCACTTCCCCTTATAACTTCCTTTGACCTTATTTGTGACACAAATGGCTGAGTTCCTCCCCAGTGTATTTATAGGAACATGCATATTAGAAGGACAAGTGCTCAGGTTCCTGAACCCAGAAGCTTCACACAGGGGTTGCAGGTGCTGGCTGGTCCCTCCTCCAGTGTAGATGCACCTCTCTTTTGGAAGGCATACCAGACCTTGGCAGGGCCATGAGGGAACAATAAATAGTCCCAGATTATCTATTCTGTCTGTGTCCTACAGGGTGGAAAATTATTATGTGGCAGTGGAAAGCAAGTTCGGCCTACAGAGGCCTTTTCCTCTGGGTCTC